ATATGGTTTTACAATGACCAGGTCTAAGGGTTGTATAGGTTCTTAAAAATTGCCAATACACTCCCTAATATCTCTATGTAAACATATTTGCGGGGAATGATGAGGTCGAAGCCTAGACAGCAAAATCTAAATATGCTATACTGCTGTAATAAACATATTAAACGTGAGTTGTCTGACTGAAATGCATTATTATGATTTCTCATACATTAGTTACACATGACTGTCAAAATCAAATATCAGTTATACACAAATCAAAGCCTCGGTTCAAGTCAAGTCTAGATTAACCTCAATATCATTTTGTGAAAGTATGAAAAACTATCCAAAATCAGCCTCTTTGATTTTCGTTAAAACTAAATGATAAATGTATTCTGTATGAATATGAGCATTTACCTTCATCTAAAGCTATGAAATATAGCATATAGTAAATACATTTAAAAGTCTGTTTTAATTAATAAATGTTTTATTCTGTTCTCAAATCAATAAATGATTTTCTCAGAGTTGTTCATTTACATAAATTATTTAAGAAGAATTTTGAGAAATCAAGTGGGAAAATTGTGTAATGTTTCTCAATATTGCTTATCGCTTGAAAAAGTGATTCCAATGAATAAACTTTGAAAAACATTTCTGCCCAATGACCATGATGCTAAATATGTTAGCTGATATGCAAAAGATACCTTGTAACATTATATTTCTATTATTCCTAAGGGACGATAGCTACTTACTCTCATTGTAATTTACATGGATCAGTTAGATGCCTTTTATTCCCACTGCACTTTGTATTATTGACTTAATTCTGTCTACACTATTAATATCCAATCAAAGTCTAAGATCACTGAAAGAGGAGTTTTGCACACCATGTGTTGTATTGCTGAGTTGGGATTGTTGTTGCTCATGTCTAACTTCCATTAATGTTAATGATAATGAGGTACTGTTTCATTATATGACAGAGGTCTTGTTTGTCATAGGCAAAGCAGGCGTGTCTGTAGTTGATCACTTTCACAAACACCTGTGAAATTAACTCAAACTCTCAATTACCTGTTTGACCAGACCACAATAGGGTAAACAGACATTATAAAACCA